TTTAGATCACATGGTTAAGGCGCAAGGACAGACAATTATTGACTCTAGGTACTAACAGGCACTCGGTCGATACTCGTTTTGCCGTACGCCATACAAATACAGATTGGGCACTTCAAATACAAATGGTCACTCTTGGAGACGAAGGGATTTACGAATGTCAGGTACTCTCATGAAAAGTTATCATTTCATATTATAACTTTTTATAACTCTACTTTTGAAATAATTTTATGTTAAAAATCTATCTTATATTTTCTATTCTTCCTAAATCTTTTCTTTCTTTTTTTTTTTTTTTCTTTTTTGCACTTCTATAAAATCAAAATTGAATTTTCATAAATGTAGAAAATTATATGATTTAACATCGTTATATTATGTTGGCCGATAATGTCAGGTAAATGTCAAATTAGCTAGGGAAGCTTTAACAATGGACGTTCGAAGACAATGGACATTAACCTATGCCTCACCTTGTTTACCAAAAGGTCAACCATAGAATAGACTAGCTTGAAACGATTTCTATTCTTTTATTATTATAAAAATAATTCTATTGATAAAAATAATTCTATAGTAAATTTATTCTTGGCAGTTTAAAAACAAAGAATGAAGAAAAAAAAGAAAGAAAAGAAAAAGGAAAAAAAAAATAAAAGGATAGGAAAAGAAAAAAGAAATATACATATATATATATATATATATATATTATATAATATATAATATATAATATAAATATAAATATAAATATAAATATTCCATGTATATAGCAATTGGTATGTGTATCACGTGAAAAGTTGAAATTATCGGGGAAACGCTCGAAGCGATGAAAATGAAATTTTATGTCGGCGTTTCAGGTGACGTCACATCCCATACAACGGAGCTTCACACGCTTGAAAATCACGGAGGCGTACTCGATAATACCGGGTGCGCCAGATTTACACGTAAAGCAGGGTTCCAGTTTGCGCTTGGAGTGCCAACTTATGGCAGCTACGGAGCTGCCCCAGTACGTGTTCTGGTATCGTCAAGGACGCATGATAAACTACGACGCCGAGCCCGGTGTTAAAGTTGAGCTCACGAAGAGTGGCTCCATTTTGATGGTAAACAAAACGAAGCCGACGCACGGAGGTAACTACACGTGCAAGGCGAGCAACGCAAAGCCGGCATACGTCATGGTTCATGTCATCGAAGGTAACAATGATAGATTGATAATGTTATTATACATTTTCATATTTTCTTATTTCAATTATCCGTATAAAATGTAATAATCGATGTAACTAATTCACGTTAAAAGTTTTCATGTGTCAGAAATATTTTCAGATTTTTTCACATTTCTTGAATTTAGGTAAATTCTGAATATATGTATATATATATATATATATATATATATATATATAAATTTTAATATTCGATCTATCTTTATCATATAGATACATTTAATTACAGGTTATTTAATATTATAATAATAAACAAAGAGAAATAATTTTCGATTAATATTACTTTAATAATTATTTTTAATATCCGTCGTCTAAAAGAGTTTTTTTTTTTTTCTTAGTTCGAGTTTTATGAATGATCCGTTTTAATAGATTATATTTGATTATGGTCGATTAAATGTTAAATTTGAAAAAATTCATTCTACGATGAATTTTAATTCATTTTAGCGTTGATGTTTTTCTATTCGAATAACGAAAATGCTAGATCGAGTAAGGAAAAGGGAAAAGAAAATAAAATGGAAACGTGAGTGACTCCTACGTGAGCAAACTATAAAGCAAATTTTTTCAATTCCGGTCTCATTGAAAGAGAATTACTACTTCGGTGTCGCTTGAAATTCGTTTAAAATTTATTTTCTATGTCAAAAGTAAGAAATTCCTTAATGTCTAATTCCTTTATACATTTTCGTTAATTCTGGTATCGTCAAATTATTCCTAGATATCATTTTCCAATGAGAAATTCTTGATAGGAACATGAACAATCTGAAAACCTATTTTCCATCAAGGAATTCACTAGAGAATCCCTTGTCTACTAGAAGTTAGTCTAGATATCAGTGTTTCCCAACGTGGGAGGGTATGATCCAGGGAGGAATGCTAATTTGAATATTTTAAGGTAAAATTAGAAAATCATATTGCATTATCAATATCAAAATAATCACCATCATGAGGATATTATGTTGCATTATGTATAATTATAAGAGACTTTTGAAACTGTATATTTGCTTATACATAGGTTTTTTTTTTTTACTTTACTCCCTTCGCTCTCTTACACTACTCTCTCGTTGTTCTCACTGATTAATGAATATGAAAAATTATCACTATTGACGTATATAAATAAAATTCATCTCTCTCTCTCTCTCTCTCTCTCTCTCTCTCTCTCTTTATATATATCATGTAAATTAGTCTCATTTCAAAGATATCTTTAATTAATTTCACAAAACATAATTATGATTGTTATCAGAATAAAAACGTAATATACGTAACGTCAAAATTATTATAGTCATTGAGATGATATTCGATAACGAAAA